ATATATATATATTATACTTGGAGAAAGGGATTTTAATAGACAATTTTTGTATGATCTAATAAATAAATGAAAAACAAAAATAATAAAAGAAAAGAAAGAAATAAATAATAAATGACGGAGAACTCGCGTGGCTTTAACACGCACGCGAAAGAGGAAGTAGAGAAAAAAGATGAAGGAAGAAGAAGAACAAGAACAAGAAGAAGCGTTCGCGAATATGCAGAAATACAGAGAGAGAAAGAGTTAGAGTAGGAGGTATAAAATGGGATGAGTGGGGGAAAAGCGATGGAGGGGAAACGGCGTTGCACGAGAAGCGAGAGAAAGATAGACACGTGTATAGAAATAGAGAGTGAGAGAGAGAGAGGAAGAGAGAGAATGAATTGGGGTTGGGAGGGGGAAGCGTCAGAGAGGGTGAACGAGGGTAGGAGGGGGTTGGCTGCGTTGCCGAGTCGCCGGCTGGCTGGCTGGCTGGCTAGCTGGTTTGTGCTGGCTGGCTGGCTGGCCTGGTTGGAGTACCGGCGGAGTACAACCGAACAATCTGTAGAAGCTTGTCCAGGACGAGAGAAGTCCGTAGATCAGCCAATCAGATAGGCATATACCCCCTCTCGTCCATTGTCACAAAATGGCGGCTCTAAATCAGTTTGACTCCGCCTATCGCTCTCCCCACCTCCAGCGCCTCTAGCGGCACTTCCTGAAAAACTCCACCTATCGATTCAGTTTTACAACTCTCTCTCTCTCTCTCTCTCTCTCTTTCTTTCTTTCTTTCTTTCTTTCTATTTTTCTTTCTTCCTTTTTTTTTCTAGTCTTTTGTTATTTTACTTCTTTCGTTTCCACCTATACGAAAGAGAAGAGCCATACGGAATAAATGCTAACCGTGTTCAACGATTTTTAAACGGTTTATATTTTCTAGCCAGGGTGTTGTTTAATACATGAAATCCATTGACATATTTTACATGTATTCAAATGTATTGGATTTATCTATCTATGTGTAATAGATATATATGTATACTATATGTATATGAATGTAGAAGAGAGGTATAATAATAACGCGATCGATCGAATTCGAACACGATGTTGATTGACCGTACCGAAAACGAGCTGCGAAAACGAGCTGGAATTTATCGTCCGGCGAATTGCACGATTTTTCTTCCTCCCCCATTGAATGTATATTTACTTTAGTAACAGATCCAATGATTTTCATTTATATCCGATTATTATCCTACTATATATATACATATATTCTTGTTCGATAATATTTCATTATTTAAGAAAGTCTTAAAATGTTATTCGAATTATTACAAATAAAGAAAAAATTTTTGTTTTGTTTACTATAATATTTTTCCTTCTTTTACTAGACAATATTTTTAATACCATCCGTATATGAAATTATTTAAACGCGTGTAATATTTTCTACAAAATATTTGTTCTTTTTTTTCTTATCTACAAAGTAAGAGGGTGAGTTGGGGAGGAAACGTAAAAGGGGGGGGAAAAAAGGAGATATTTTGTTAGGTATCGATTGACTGGTTGGGATGTCCAAGCAGATATTTGTTTGCTTCGAGATCGGTTATTCCATTGGCGTAACGACGAAGAAGAGGAAGAGCTCGAGTCAAGAGAATAACCATAATTTACGTGGCTACGCGGTGCTTCCGAAGTTCGGCGGATATCGCGACGCGTCGACGTCGGTATCGATTTATTATTTTCTGCCTCGAGAGTCGAGAGTTCGAGCACGTTCATAGAGAAATACACACACAAAGTTAGAAAGAGAATATGCAATAGTTATATATATATATATCTATATATATATGCACAGTTATATACTAAAACCTGATATCACGATAATTATACACGCTTTACATCTTCATTTGGAAAATCGCTATTGTCTACGTATCAACTATGATAAATCATCTTTCAATGTCATGTCTATCATTAATGATATATAATATAAAAAGATTTTCAACACTAATAAAAAAAATTTTTCACATTGATATTATATATATATATATATATATATATATATATATATATATATATATATATATATTTATAAATGGAAATTAAAATCTATAAATAAATTTCATTATCTAGATTAATAATGTATGTGAACAAAATTTATCTATTCCGAGTAAGAATATAAAAATAATAAACATCCTTTATGTAAACTTCGTGTTTCCATTGTAACGCGATGATTGTGTTGTTAACTTGTCAAAATAAAAAAAAAAAATAAAAAGATTAAAAATAAAATAATGAAACATATAGAAAATGAATAAAGAATGAATTGATCAAATCTAATGATGTAATTATATAAAAGAATATACTCAAATGAAAATAAATTAATACGAATAACAACAACAACAACAACAACAACAACAACAACAACAACAACAACAACAACAACAACAACAAAAATACTTTCTTATTGTAACCATGGATAATTTTGATTTTCAAAGATAAGAAAAAACAAATAAAATAAAATATAATAAGGACAGAGATAAAAAAAATATTCGCATGTATAACACAAATTAATAAATTGTTATTGCAAATTGTGACTTTTAGATATTTTTGTCTCAAAAAAAAAAAAAAAAAAAAAACTAGAATAAAAGAAAGAAGAAGAATGAGATGAAAAGAGGATACGCGAGTTTGGGGTTTATGTTTCCGCTTGGACGCGAGAAAACTCGGCAATTTCTTCTTCTTCTTCTTCTTCTTCGTTGACCGGTTACGGGACGGGCACGGTCCTGGGCGTAGAGAACGCGTTCGACCGATAAGGAAACCTCGGATAAAGGTAGGACGTTTGAAAAAGTAAGTGGTGGCCTTGTGTGCGTTCGTGTGAACACCGAAACGGCAGCCCCCGAGCTTCTGCGAAAATAGAGATCGCGAGGGTGAAGGGAAAGGGGTGTGCAACTGCCTTTGCTCCGCTCCTGTTGGTCCAAGCTTAGGGGTTGAACAGAGAAAACGATAAAGAAATGGATAAAGAAAGAAAAAGAAGGAGAGAGAGAGAGAGAGAGAGAGAGAGAATCTTGCTTCTTCTCTCGGGGGTCTCTTTACCGATA